TTTGTTTTTATTATCAACATTCTTCCCCCCCCCCCTTCAATGTAGATTTTTTAACTTAGGGGGCTTCAAACAAAATTGTACAATTGGCCCTAATTTTATTAAATCAGGCCCTGGTAAGAAGTTCAAACTCGATCACTTCTCCCTCAGAAGAGTCACACCATAGTATATGCTAATATGCACAGTCACTGGATTTTATCAAAATTTAACTATACTTCGTTTCAAAAGAGACCAAATCGTTTTCGCGACCGGTTTTCGTTCGGCGTCGCCCCTCTCCCACCCTCCGCAACGCCGATTGCGAGGATCACACTTCTGCCGTCAGCTGATTGTAACGCATATACAGTCGATTTCAAATAGCACGACTAGAATATTATACATGCGTTAACTGTAAAACGAGGCACACGTACAAATATTACGTAAAGGTTCCTACTAGGTAGCATAGGCGTGTCTACGGGGGAGGCAGGGTAGGCACCGGCCTTCCCAGCGACGTTCTTGGCCTCTTGGCTTATAATGGTGAAACCACAAATATATAGTATCTATATCCGTGGCTAAAACAGTAACATTAGGTAATTTTAGGTAGGTGAATTTAAATTTTAAATTTATTGAATTTTATTATTTGTAATATTATAATTAACTAATAGTTTAACCAAACTGATAAATAACTGTTTATTTTGTAATAACTGTAATAAGATGTGTACAGAAGGTTGATGTATAGTTGATAAAATATTTATAAAAAATAAATAAGTACCATTTTGTTAATAGGCCTTATTTATTAGTTCATAGTTTTAATAGCATAGGAAACCAATTTTAAAATCAAGAAAATCTTTAATTTGACGAGGTGAAAAAATTCCAGGTGCTATATAATTTCCATACAACAAAAATAATTCACAAATATAGATATAGATTATAGTTCGCTGTAGTAAGTAAAAAATTTAAATTTTATAACTGGCTTCCCCAGCCATGGAGGTCTGGACACGCCTATGCTAGGTAGGTAACTGTTCGAGCCGGTCTGATATCACAATAATTATTCAATTTATTATAAGTAATTCAATTAAAAACAGACGCCGAAGATATCGAAATATGCGGTGTTTGACGCAGAGCTATTAATTAGTTTAGCACCAGTGTTGCGCAAAGATAACTAAACATTTATTTAGATAAAGATAAAAAATAAAAGACTATTTTTCTGGATAAAAAAAGATAATATTTTTTTTATTTCATTAATTAATTAAATTTTTTTTTTTAAATTTATATTTAAAAAATGTAATTAAATTAAAATCTAAGTTGATTTTGATCTAATAAGTACCTCCAATATAAATAATGAACAAAAAAATATTTATATTATGTATATTTGTGTATGAGAAATAAGTAATAAAGAATAAGTACTTAGTTCTAAAAAAATACATTTTTTGTAGATATATTAGAATTTTATAAAATAATTCATTACAATTTATATAATAATTATTATGGAGTAATATTTATGGTTAAATATTAAAAAAATAATTCTGTATTATTTAATTCTCTTTTTTAGGAATCAAATATTGTAAGTACACATTGTAAATCACAAGAAAGTATAAATTAAATAGTCTTATTAATATATAAACAATTCTTAAAAATAATACTTATAGGTACAATTTAAATAATAAGTATAACTAAATATAAATTTTAGTAAAACGACTTTTGAAATAATAGTAATTCATTATAACGTTAATAATTTAATAATATTAATAAAGTTTTCATTCATTTTAAATGTTTAAATAGTTTTTAACTTTCAAGTAAAATTTTTCGAATTTTTTGAATATATTCGTATTTATTCATCTAGATGAATTACGATGGATAATTCAAGAACTCATCTAATATAATTTATCAGACAACTAATTTTTGTTTATTATCTATATAAGATAAAATATAATCAATTATTTATTTAGAAAATTTATTTAGATAATGCTCAAAACTGTTTAGAACTGAGAATTTTAGCAGCTATAGCACAAGTGTTGAAATATAAAACTTCCGTGGAAGCTGTGACGTTCGAATTGACGATATTAAGTTTTATTAGAATGTCCAAAATAATTTTTTGTTATTCTTGAAATAGTTTGAATAATGTTTCTAATTTATTTATGTGAACCAACAGAATTTCTATCAACACCCCGTTTGTGTTGACCTTGACAACCATCGAATGTATATTATGAATAGACTTAACGTTTTAATCACGCACGACGCAGGCATGCGTTATTTCCTTCTGAGCTGTATCTATACTTCGTTTATCAATTTTGTAACTATATTAAATCGGCAAATATCCGGTTTGAAAGACCAAAATATGCGCGCGAAAATCCCGTAAGTGTATTTGATGGGAGTATATCGCATGGTATATTTGCCACACTGATCAATGGAAAAAAACCAAAGGTTAAAGAAGGAGAAGTAGAATAAAATCAAAATCAATCACAAATTTGTTCACAAAAGGAGATTGTACGAGTCGATTAAATTATAGTAAATAAGAAAAAACATCAAATAGGCTTACGTACTAACAGCAATAACGTAAAAAGCACTGATTAAAAATGTCCCAATGGGCGCACAGTTCGATTTTGTTATTAAAATAAATATATTAAAATTTAACCTGACTCAAGACGGCTCAGCGATGAGTGGCAGATGGAAATGATGTTCACGTTCACAGTAGAATGATGATCACATATATGACGGCGAAGGCGTCGTGCTATATAATGGTGACGAAGATGCACTTGTTAATAATGACGAATAATAAGCATTTGTAACTTGTACGAAGACGAAGGCGTCGTATAATATAAGGACGAAGGTGCACTTATCAAAATGGCGGTGAAGGCGCACTTGTTTAAAACACGGCAATGAAGGCGCACGTAAATAGAAAAAGGTTGTTACTTAAACGTAATCAACGATCGACATTTTTATGATCAACGATACGACAACGAAGTAAAAAAATATGATAGAAGCAATATGACACATTTCGGGAGAGTGTATACATATAGGTGATGGCGGCGAAGAAGAGATACGTATGTGTACACACATATGCTCTATCATAATAATCCACGTCAGGACACGCGGAAATGTTACCAACTGCAACTTCTTGTCAGTGCAGCGCTGCTTGCAACACTGCTATACAGTTAGCAGATGCAGAACAAGTGACCGACAGCACCAACAGGTGCATTGATTATTTACATCTAATTCATTCCTGCCTCTAGCATTTGAGTATTCAATATTATGTTAATTCAAAAGTGGTAATTGGTGCTATGGACAAAGAATGCTTTTATTACAATGCTCTTAAGTTTAAAAGTGAGTGTTTGTGCCTCATCGTGACGAGCGTCGATGATTCGCCAAGACCACCGTCGGCACCCCCTTTTTTTTTACCCCCACCGGTGATGCGCACCCGGTCGCTCGGGCCGTCGATCGCGGTGGTTTGTGCGGAAAATACTTTTTTTTTTTTTGGTTTTGGACATTCGTTCGCGTTCGGCCGGCCGATAACTATCGTGCCTGCGCCGCCTTTGCCGTGTGTGTTATCTTCCTAAGGTCAATTCCTTCTTTGTACGCGATTGGCGTTTTGTCGTGCGTATGATCCGCCACCGTTGTTCGATCTCGTGTGTGTGTCACCGCGTGTTATTTTAGATATTGTCGACCTCGTGGTCACTTTCGCAGCTTTGCGTCATTACGCCCCGTTTATCGCATCGGTTGATTGGTGGACAGTGGTATTTTGCCATCATCGTGCACCGTATTTCACGAACTCGCTTTTGTGTGTGTTAGATACTACCTCTTCGAGTGCGTTTCCCGTACGTTAACCTGTTTTCGGTCGCGATCACTTTAGTTTCATTGGCGTCCACGCGGTTTTCATCCGTGGTCCTTTTTACAAGTCGGTTCGTGGTGCGCGTCGCGTATGCCAGTAGCATCAACTTCGTTTCCGACACAATCCATCCATCGCCACGATTGTTGTCCGTTGCGGTCTGCCGGTTGGTAGCAGTACTTATTTACGCTGCCATCTAGGAGTCAGGTGTAGCGACTGTCAGTTGGACCCTTATCACCACCACCCGAGATAAGATTATTTTATTTAACCATTGTTCGTTAACATTAATAATAATATAGTCGCGGCAACGAAAAATGAGCGTTGGTACCGCGACTCGTTGTTTTTACCCACTCTTACGGCCAATGATTCTCAATATAGTGCAGCTGTCGTGCTGCTACGCGCTGTACCTACTGTATTGTATTTAAAAAGTGAGTGGTAACAATTGTAACCGTCAAGTTACAGATCGTGTCCCTCAGGCAGCAGGAATTCAAACTATAACATTCCAGACCCTCTTTTGTTGGGATATGTTTAGGAGGGGGATTTATATTATACCAGCCACCTTATATAGTACATTTTTTTCGTGGTCTATCGTTTACACACCTTGTTGTCGTAAACACGTATTTCGTGCGCGCCGTGTAATAGTCATTGAATATCGTAGTACGTTTGTATTAAAACTTAAAAATGTCGTTTAAAGATCGTGATACTCATAGTCAGAGTAAGAAAATCATTTTTAGTGTTTACAATTTTATTAAAATGTGTTCGGAAAAAAAAAGATTTGAGTTCAGATTTTTTTAAAAGTGCACAAAAAATTGCTGCTCAGGCTTGTGGTACTTCGTATATAACTGTGCGGCGTATATGTATGGAGGCAAATAAATCTTCAGTGGATAGTGATGAAGAAGTGCAATTTCAATTACCTCATAAATTGTACAAACGTGCAAAGAAATGCTCCGAGGTAGACGATTTCGATGCTGATGTAGTCCGACGGATCGTACACGAATTTTATGAAAGAAATTAATATCCGACTGCTTTTTCAATTTTAAGCGAAATTAAAAAAAAATTACCACATTATGAAGGATGCGTCCGGTCGGTCAGAAATTTGTTAAAAAATTTAAAATTTACGTTTAAGAAATGCAATAATGGCCGCAAAATGCTTATGGAGCGAAACGATATAGTCGCTTTACGATGTAAATTTTTACCTACAATGTGTACACTCAGACAGAATGAAGATACCCGACCTGTGGTTTATCTAGATGAAACCTGGGTAAACCAAAATCATTCAAGGTCTCATATTTGGCAGAATAATGAAGAAACTGAGGGATTTAAAATACCAACCGGCAAAGGAGGTCGCCTAATAATTACTCACGCTGGATCATCGCGTTTCGGGTTCATTGAGGGATCGAAATTTGTTTTTAAATGCCGAGCTAGAAATTCTACTGACTACCATTCGTCTATGAATTCAGATGTGTTTAAAAAATGGTTTGTAGATATGCTAAAACTACTTCCTGAACCATGTGTAATCGTTATAGATAATGCACCCTATTATTCTATGTTGGTAAACAATTATCCAAAATGTAATGCTCGAAAAGCTGAGGTACAGGAATGGCTGAAAAATCAAAATATTAATTTTTTACCTTTGGAAACTCTAGCCGAACTACGCGAACGTGTGAATTTGTTAAAACCGACATTTAAAAAGTACGAGCTAGATGAAATAGCAAGTTCAATGGGCCATGAAGTAGTACGACTGCCACCGTACCATTGTCAGTATAACCCCATTGAACTTATATGGGCTCAAGTAAAAGGCGAAGTGGCAAAAAAAAATTCAACGTTTAAAATGGTGGACGTCGAAAGACTCACTCACGAGGCATTGGATTTGGTATCCAAGAGTGACTGAGAAAAATGCGTCAAACATGCTGAGACAATCCAGGATGAAGATTATCAGAAGGAGATACTAATAGACAGTGTATTAGAGCCGGTTATTATAACTTTTCAAACTGACGATAGTGATTTTAGCAATGACGAGGACAGTGAAGATGACGTTCACTTATTTAAAAATTGTTATTTTACTATAATATACTTGTCTTTTATTATTTTTTCCGTTGTAAATATTTTTTAATTATTTGTATGATAAAATGTAAAATAAATTGATAACCAATAAAAAAAATCCTATAATTTAAAAAAAAAAAATAGTACCTATGTAAGTTATTTGATCTTTTTTAAAAAAAAGCGGGCTTTTTGTTTCAAAGATTGATAATCACTACTAATAAACTGCCGCTTGGCGCATGACGGTCAGCGCTCATTTTTCGTTGCCGCGACTATAAGTTTTGTTTATCATTCTCTGGGCCTTTATTATCCTCGAATATCATCATCCCCTCCTTTCACTATAATTTATAATATTCTTCAGAGCGCACGTTCGCGAGTGTCGCACGGCCGGCTGGCGATAAATATTTTTCAAAGGCTCCGCGACGGTGCGTACAAACAGTGAGCCAACTGTGATGTGTTGTTTGTCAGGAAAGGTACAATTACCTCCTCCGGTAAATTACAACTTGATCTATGAAATAACACTTTACCAAATTGGCCGGTACGTCAGCTCCAATGAAGATATAGGCTGTTTGGCCTATTTTTAGTTTTTCAATTCATAAACGGGATCCAGCAGTTCTTCATTTAGCCGTTCATCTAGAAAACGGCCAGCGCGTATATTTCACGAGCAAGACAACGATTGATCGTGCTATAAATCCACTAAAAACTACCCTCACCGAATTTTTTGAATTGTGTAATCGTGCGAATGCTTTTACACGGACATTACTCTATTCAGAAGTACCACGCTATATCACATGGACTCTAACAAAAAAATGGATGTCCCTCAAGCAAGGCACGCCGATTGATGCATGTCCCGGTTTATTCAAATCAAAAACCTTGGGGCGAGTATTTACAGTCAATCCAAGGCAGACTGAGTGCTTTTTTCTTAGACTGTTATTGATTAATGTTGACGGTCCATTGTTATTTCAAAATATACATAAAGTGAATGGGTAACAGTATCCAACGTAGAGATAAAATGCATGTCATGCACTCGGCTTGCTGGAAGACAACAACCAGTGGGAATGTATGCTTGCTGAAGCAGGATTGAATTGTATAGCAAAATAAATTCGTCTACTATTCGCTATAGTGTTGACTACATGTTTCCCAACCCGAGTAGAAACATTATGGTATAATCACAAAGATTCAATGACCGATGATACATTGCATCAACATTGTACACAATGCAACGATCTCACGATAGTATACAGTGACACTATGTATAATGAAACATTGATTGCTATTGAGGATCTTTGCATTATCATTGCCAACTTACCACTCAGACATTTCGGTATGCATTCACCAAATCGAAATGTATATGAATTAATAAACACTGAATTGAATCGTGAACTACAATACAATATTGTGGAAATGGCAGCGATTGTTTCTTACAACACTCCACTAATAAATAAAGAACATAGAAAAATTTACGACCGCATTATGCTGGTAATTTCGGTAGGACAAGGTGGATTCTTTTTTTTTCTATGCACCAGGTGAAACTAGAAAAACATTCCTTATTTCGATCATTCTCGCCGAAATACGGTCAAATAATGGCATCGCATTGGCTATTGCATCATCTAGAATTGCGGCAACTTTATTGAAAGGAGGCAAAACAGCTCATTCAGTATTTAATCTGCCACTAAATATTCAAAATAATCTAGACGCAGTGTGCAACATAAAAAAACAATCGTCCATGGCCACAGTAGTGAAACATTATAAAATTATCATGTGGGATGAATGCACTATGGCACACAAACATTCGCTTGGGGTGTTGAAGAGGACATTAAAAGATATAAAAAACAATGACAAACTATTTGGCGGCACTCTGTTACTTCTTTCAGGTGATTTCAGACAAACACTTCCCGTTATTCCGCGTTCAACATACGCTGATGATATCAGCGCGTGCTTAAAATCATCGCTACTATAATGTAATATTGAAAAAGTACAACTGAAAATAAATATGCACGTTCAAATGCTAGAAGATCCATCCGCAGAAACATTCTCGAAACAATTGTTGAATATCGGTGATGGGAAAGTTACTACAGATGAAATAGGATACATACTATTATCTACCGATTTCCTCGCAATTATTGATTCGCAAGATGCTCTCAGATATTTCTCAATGTATAAAGACAATACACATATCATGAGTGGCTGGCAGAAAGAGCAATTTTAGCAGCAAAAAATGTGGATGTCAATGAATTGAATCTCAAGATACATTTGTTACCAAGAGACTTGGTGTCATACAAATCTATTGATACAGTTTGCCATGTTACTGAAGCTGTAAATTATCGAACAGAGTTTTTAAACTCATTGGATTTACCAAACATACCATCGCATAATTTACAACTGAAGATTAGATTTTCGGTTATTTTTCTTCGTAATTTGAACCCACCATGGTTGTGCAACGGCACGCGATTAGCCATTAAAAAATTAATGAAAAATGTTATCAAAGCCATAATTTTAAATGGCAAATTCCGAGATGAAAATAGATTATTACCGCGAATCCCTATCATACTCACAGATATGCTAATACAATTTAAACGCCTTCAATTTCCAATTAGATTGGCATTTGCAGTGACTATCAACAAGTATCAAGGCCAAACGATGTCTGTCTTTGGCTTAGATTTGAGCACATCATGTTTTTTACACGGACAATTATACGTGATGTGCTCTCGAACCATCCAGTTTGTGTTGGTGAAAGATGGGATAACAAAAAATATAAATACACTTTGTTGCATTAAGGGATTGATATTGTTTTTTACTAATATTGTCATAATTAGCGATATATATATAATTTTAATGGATCAATTTTAATAAATTATTAAAAAAATAAATGTTGAATGTTTTTTCATTTTTATATTTCGTCACCGTTTACAGAACTTTTCGCCTGTTCCGGTGTCGAAATACCAACAAAACTATTTACATACGCGTAAGAAAAAAAAACTAAGAATATGGTATGTGCTATATTAAAATAATTAAAATAATAAACACTTTTTTTAAATTTATTTTTATTAATTATACCAATTCGAATTCAATATTCATAATTAATACAGGACAACGTCTGTCGAGTCAGCTAGTATCAATACATAAATATTTTTTTAAATAATAATTGTGTTTGGCACGGCAAATGCCCAACAATGATAGAGGTTCACCTTAATAACTATTCAAGGACTGGTATTAAAATAAAAATAGTATAAATAAATAAATAAAGATTGGTATGAATAAGTGGACTGTATAATAATAATGTATTAATGCAAAAACAAATGGTAACTTAATAAATTAAATAAATAAATCAAATGTGTGGCCCACACGGCACACACGAAATAATAAATAAAATACCAGCGTCGGCCCTACAGCGGCACAATAATAAATATATAATTAAACAATGTGTAGCCCACACGGCGCACACGAAATAATAAATAATTTGCCAGTGACGGCTAGGCCCCTCGGTCCTTACACTAATAAACGAATATGGTCGACCAATACTAACAAGTGTGACTGCGTTGAATGGCGGATTGCATCCCACGCGACCACAACGAGGAAAGTGCTTATACAATATACTAAACAATACAACAAAACTCAAAAAGTACAGTCCCCGATGCGTGCGACCACCCAAACACAGTCACAGACGAACGACGAATTCACACTGTAGCCAAAACACAACACAATTCGAAACCACGTTATTCACAATGACCGCTGGTAGATATGCTAAAACCAAAAAACTATCAAAACCAACGACAAATAGTTGGTAAAACAATAAATACCAGACGGCCAATAAACAGGAACAACACAAGACAACGTGGTTTAACAAATGGCTGCAGACGTACGAAAAAAACTTGACAAAATGAATGTTGATGTGCATACCACTAAGACACACAGAGGAGATTGAGACCGGGCCGACGACATTCACTAGGAAGCCTAAGGCCGCCGGACACACAAAATGAAGATAAATGTCTCAGTGCCACCACGCTAAACCAAAAAACACGAGAACTTACGAAATTTTGTGACACTGAAAACATGACTTTGACTTTTACAAAACATAACCGGAAAAACTCTGAAGACGTGGAATAACAGACACATTTACGCGCGACGATAACAGCGCGATTACACGTACCCGGTCTCGATCGCACACGGAGGCTTATCACCGCCGCCTACGATGGCTGCGGATACGCAACGCACCGCTACGCATCGCATGAAAATGATAACATGAACAAATGACAAATAACAATATTGGCACAAACAGACTATGCATTTTTAAACTTAAACCCATACTTAATAGAAAAAAAATAATGAGTGGATTCGTTATATTTGACTTTATAGTATTATATTAATATATATTTATTATTAATAAGTAAAAAACCTAATAATAATTTTACAAAGATTTATTTTAATTTTAATTTTTATTGTATTATATTTATTGCGTATCAAGGACGTATACGGCATGGTTGATGTTTCACGTGTTAAATTAAGTAAAACAAATAATGTGCCGTTGTACGTTTATAATCCACCGTGGTACGTAATATATTAATGGTATTATAAGCTTACATGTTAATGAAAAATAACTAGTTTTTAACCATAAAAATTAACGATGTTATTAATAAATTATTTCTGAACATAATTATCTGATTAAAACATGCGAAAGAAGCATTATATCCAAGGTCTTTTTAAGGAGCGTGCTCTCATGCGGAATGGTTTTAAGCAGCACCATTTTAATGTACTGACATGTTTTATACGTGTTAATATTCCTAACATCAGTTCTTACATCAATTTTGTTATAAGTATTAAGGCGCCCTGTGCCAATGTTGATTTATCTTC